CGGTCTTCTTGGCTCAATAGACGAACGCCTTGACGTCTGGATTTGCTCATCGTTCAAAAAACTACCGGAGACGTCTCTTGTGTCGGCATTTCAGAGTAACTCTGTCGCCATCGTCAGATGTGGCCGTAGGTGTCCCTTCGGTTGGCCGAGTCGCATTTGGATGTAATTTCCTGCGCTAAAAAGAGAAAAGACCCCACTTATTTTTAGAATTCGCGTTTTTATACACTCTCGTCTCGTTCCACGTGTTTGTGATTTTTGCGGCTCACGCTGCGGTATTTATATAAAGTGCTTCCAAAAAAGCGCCGCGACTGAGAAGATTTTTTTCTATTTTTTTTACGCACTAAATGTTGGGTTGAAATAAAACATTTTGTGCGTTTGCGGAGAAAATAAAGTTTTTTTTTACGAACATAACTATCGTGACATTTCACGGAAGCCAAGAGACAAAATCAAGGAGCTACAAAGTGGTCGTTTGTTTGTAATGAAACAGGAGAAATAACTCAAACCATCTCCAAGCGAAATCGTCCTTTTTTATTTCAATACCTCTTTCATGTCCGTTCGGTTTGTGCGGCATGTCGCCAGGCATGACGTTCCGATGGTGCCGTTCCCTCGCGCGGGGAGGTTACTCAGCAACTGTTCCCCTTTGCCGAGCATGCTCTCGGCACGAGGAACGAAACGTCGGACCACATCGTGCGGACGCAAACCCGAAAACGCATCGGAGAGCCGTACGGCACGACCGTTTTGTTTGAGTAAGTTGAGTAACTTTACATTTTACGAGGTGGGATCGTTACATTGGAGCAATGTGCTGTGATTTATGCTTTCGACTTCATTCTACAAAAAAGAGACGAAAAGATCGTGTAACATTTCGTGTCGATCGTGAGTGCGATAACGGAGACGCCACTTAATGTAAATTAAACATTTACATTGTCCTTCGGGGAAATGTAATTCATAGGATGCAGTGGCACCTCTAGCCCACACTTTGATCGATAGCCATCTCTGCTGGACTGCCGAGGTCTCTCCAGGACCTCCGATTATCACGGTTGGCTACGTACGGTGGCGAACGGAGTTCAACACACACACACTGACATCTAGATTGACACTGACAGCTGTTCATCATGTCCCGTGGCTGAAGGAGGTTGCCACGTAGCGGCACTTAATTTGAATAAAAATTATGGCATCGGAAAAATCCGTTTAGTGGATGGCTGCGTGCGCCTTCCACATTCCACGGTCAACGGGGGGTTTTGCTTTTAGAAAAGTGACCACGATTAATAAATTACGCCGGACCTCGAGCGATACGCTTCCGTAAACCCCATTACAGTGCCGCACGCCTGACTTGGTGACGCGTATGTCACGACTCGAGTAAACTGTGAACGAGTATCGACTTTCGCGCTTCCATTGGGTCACGATATCCTCGCCGTGACTTGCGATGCGTTCCTCCGAAAATGACAGTAAGCGAAGTAGTGTTAGAAAAATAAAATATATGTATCGGTTGCCCTGAAAATGTATTCCCACCGGTGGTGCATTTGTTCCGCTCTACTTATTTGTGCCGCTTGAGGAGAGGGGATAAATGCGAGGGCCACGTGCTACACTGGTGGAGACAGAGTTGAGACCGAGCACAGAGAGTGAGTGGCAAGCGAATTGCTGCACTTAAAATTGAGCAACAGCTTTACCATGAAGTTTGGAGAGTGGGTCTTAAACTTAACGTTTTTGTTGCGTCGAAAATGCACGGCTATAGACTTACACGCACACGAAGACATTATTTGAGACTAAATCTTAAGGGGGTTACAGATATTTAAAGGGTCAAGGGAATATTCCTGAATGTTGGTTCCTAGAGGGTACTGAATATTCATTGAAGAACAAATATTGTATGGTTTATCCGCTGCTAGATGAAGCCCTATCCACGTGATCGCCATCTGTCATCAGTCTCAGAATGCAACAATCAATCCATCTCGTGGATGCAGGATGGCACAGGTTTGTGAAACTCCCAGCAATGATGCGCTGCAGAGTGACATCGGCATGACAGTCACAGACGATGGATTCTGAAATCCTTCCGTGATAGGGTATGTGAGTGTTGTCCCTCCACATGCCGTGGGGCTATCTTCAGACACCCCAGTGGCTTCCTGCTTGCCAAACGCAGCCCAAGGGACAGGGGCCTCCTGAAAACAATGTATCTTAAGACTCGGGTGAGATTTTCTCAGTCGTATTATGAAGTGCATCTTTTACTTGTAATTCTCCTAAACAGCACCTGCACAGAATACAATTCAATACGGTATATCAGTGATTAGTGAATATCGTTGAAAGGAAGGACATTTTTGCACCTCCCCGGACGTTTAACTGTCTGCAACAATACTGCAATGCTGTTCCCGAAACGTCACCTATCAATATATATATTTCGCTTGCAAGACCACGCGGTGTTATTGATGAATGTGTTCAGTGTTTTGTTTTGTTAAGCATGCCTTGTGCACCACTGCCAACGCAGCAGCAGCAGCAACATAATTCGTTTTAACTTCCTGGGCTGCTTTTTCCGAGTGCCAAGTATAATTGATCTCTCAAAGGCAACACACACACACACGGAAAATATACAACTTTTAAATGCACGCAAATGCACAGCATCCGAGTAGTTCGGCTCGTGATGTATTACTATCTGTTAAGTGTGGCCGCTTGTTTGAGTGGTTAATTGTGGTGGTGGTGGTCGAGACGGAGTGACAACCAATGGAGGGAATAGACACGTGACTGAGCACGTGCGCCAAGGAGATGGAGCTGTGAAATGAGATCGCGCGCAGCAGCTCGTCGGATTATCGCGTCGCGACACCACGAGAGATGGCGACAGCTTCGGGTTGGGTGGGGGAGACCTTCATCTAGCAGCGGATAGATTACGGCTCACATTGATTGTGATGATGATGATGATCAAGATGAGTGGGTGGTGCAGTTCTATAACATAGCCTCGGCGCCTTGAAACCATTTGGTCAGCCTCACTGAAGAGCACACATTCCTTAAAATCATCGCATAATATGTTTATGCATTCAAAAATATGCAGGGTTGCCATGAAAAGCAAATCAGAAGTTCAAAGAAAATTGCTTGGCAGATGTTTACGGCACGTGGACTCTTCCAACCCCCTCCGTCTGTGCGTTAAGAGGCAACAGGCGCGCAGCTGCTTGCCTCGATCCCGATGAAGTGTTAATTTGGAAGAGGCAGGGGGACGGTGTCGCTGTGAACCCGCTCGTGACCGATATCCCTTTGGTCGGCGGAGCTCCGCCAATTACGTTGCGAACAGTTAAAGCAACGTCGACCTTTTCTGCGGGGGGGTGGAGGAGGGGGTTTCCACCCTTCTCTTTTTGAAGAACCACCATTTCTGTGAAATTATGCACGCGCAAAAAAAAAAAGCCGCTGCCAAAAACAAAAAATGCAGCCTAAACTAAACAAGAGGGGAAGTGAAACATCGCAGGCGTTATCCACGTCGCACTTAATTTTATCGGCGACTTAATGAAAGTTCGCGAAATGCTCGAATTGTCGCTTTCAGCCATTTGGCGGTTTTGGCCGATCACCTTGATGATGGTGATCACTCCAACAACAACGGAGGGCGGAGGAGCGACGCTCACAACAACGAGCGGAGCGCCGGATGGCTAAAGCACAGCAAGTTGGTACAGTAGGGGGCACAGGTGGTGCATCAGCTAGTCATCTCGGTCATCTAGGTCAGTCGACCCGTGGCACCTGCTGGGTCTGCCCCGTGACCTCCTGCCAGCGGGCGTTCGACACTTCACGTGGCCTCAAGGTGCACATGGCCTGGCACAAGCGTGGTGGTGACGTCACCGCTACTTAGTGGCGAATGGCGGTGGTTGTTGTTGGTGGTGGTGCAGAAAGCTGCGTCGCGCGAGACGGATCGCCGTCGGACAGGAAAGAAAATAAGGAAGAAAGCAAGGGGGGTGGTGGGGGGTGATGGTGGGGGTGGTGGGGGGTGATGGTGGGGGTGGTGGGGGGTGATGGTGGTGGTGGGGAGGGGGTGGTGGGGGGAAACCTCCCACGGACAGGGAGCCGGGCGACTTGGAGAGAGAGTGGCATTTCAGCGCCGCAAGCCGCACGTCCGTGGCGGTGGTGGGCCCTCGTCCCGCGGGCTCACCAATTACACACATCGTTAGCTGCTGCAGCTGTTAGGTGCCTGGGGTAGGTGGCGGGGGAGGGTTGGCTGCTCCCGTGCCAGGGGCGCGTGCCGCGTGCATGTGCAGCCAGAGGTTAATGCGGGATGAGGCCGGCACGGGCCAGCCTCAGCCAGCGGTTGTGGATTTGATTTCCACCTACGTGTGTGTGCGCGCGTGTGTCTAATTGACGCCGGCTGACATTATTGCTTGAGTCGACTTTAAACGGCGACGGCGTTCCACGGGGGCCTTGTGCTCATCACGAGGACCGATTTTTGCCGAGTCCAAGAGACTCCACAAATTAAGTGACTGGGTTCACCCCTGTTCCCTACAGAGGGCTGCAAGGCTCTCACGCTCTGCATCGCTGCTCCTGGAAAGACCTCGGCTGGCCAGCAGAGATGACCAGTGGTCGCAGTATGGGCTAGAGACGCGCTGCTCCCAGTTGAATTAAAATTTCCCCGAAGGTCAATGTGTAATCATGTCTATGAAATAAATTAACGAAACGCATATGGAGAAATGCCACTGCGTAGTCGTGTGTGCGTGCGTAGCTCTGCTACCTGCCCGAGGTTTCACTCTACACGGCCCGAATCTCCCAGCACGTGGGGCGAAACGTCGGACTAATCGGGCAGAACAGCACGCGACTCAATCCGAAAACTCACCGGAGAGCGTTATGACGAGTGATCGTGATCATTGCCCATTCATCTAACTCCGCAGGTGGGGGGGGGAGTGTGGGTGAGCGTCTACAACAGATGGGGAGGCTCTAGGTTCAGCGCGGGCTGCAGCCCAGCGACAGGTCGAGCGCGCGCGCGTGCGCCAGCAGTTGGGGGGGGGGGGGGGGTGGCGCGCGCGAGCCCCGTAGGAGGCGCCTACCTTGCGCAGCCAGTGCGTGTTGTTCTCCATCGCCACCTCCAGCTGCTGCAGGCGCTGCAGCGCCCAGTCGGGCTCGGCGGCGGCGGGGGGCGGGGGCGCGTCGCGCTGCAGGGCGTTGCCGCTGAGCGACGGCGACGGGAAGGGGGGGCCGCCCCCCGCCGCCGGGGCCGCCCTGCAGCCGGAGCCGTCCGCCGCCGCCGCCCCCACGAGCTCGGGCAGCAGGAAGGTGTAGGTGCAGGCGCCGTGCTGCAGCCGGTGGTAGCGCCGGCCCGAGGCGTCCACGCCTCCCGACGGGGGAGAGGCCGAGCCGACGGAGCGGCCCCCGCCGCCGGCGCGTGCCGAGGAGGCCCCCGCGCCGACCTGGGCCCGCGCTCGGCACGCGCTCATCCCCAGCAGCAGCAGCAGCAGCAGGCAGCAGCTGGACAGCCGCGTACCGTCCCGCACGGCCATGTGTCCTCGACGCGTCGTCCCGGCGGACGAGGAGGAGGCCCTCTGGATGAGCAGCGTTGGGCAGCGAACGCTCCGCTGTCTGCGTCGGTGTCTCTCTTTTCGTTCGTCCTACAAATCTGGCTGCTTCAGGTCCGCTCAGCTAATGGCAACACTTCGGGAAGAGGTGCTTGCTTCTTAGATTGTTGGCTTTTGTTCGCCAGTGGCACTGCACAAATATCAAACGAAAAAAATTAACCGTGAAGAGCTCGTTTCGTACTAGTTGTTCAAAAGGTTAAATTCCGCCTAAATGCAAACGATGTAAGATGAAAATTTAGAACAGCAGGAGTATTTTTCTGACCGTGGTCCTTCATAAAGCGTTGACAAGTCTGCATTGTATTTCCCTATCGCCAGCATCCAACAAGGTAATTAGGGTTGACCGTTTGTTGCGTATAAGTCGTTGTTCGGGCACAGCTCTATCTTAATTAAACTTTGGCACAAAAAAAAACGAAAATTGGGTACGCATTTCCCTTCCTAAGTCCCGGTGGAACAGAATGTCCACTGAAATGTCCTAACCGCAACGCTAAAACGCAGATGTGTTATCACACATTACGCAATTGCAGACAGGCGAGTGCTGACTGCAACCTCGAACGATCTGAGTGGCACTGGAAAGAGCAGAAAAATAAATCGAAGCCCAGACGCAGACTTTGTTTTCTTGAGGCCCTCTCTGGCACCACGGAGAATAACGGAACGTCTTCCTCGCACCAAGGTGCAACCACACTGCGCAGAATTGTCAACCCCCTGGAATGCTTGCCTCGTCTCGGTACGCAGCAGTCGATAACAAAAAAAAAACGGGAACGCGTTCACAGAATACCGGCTTGATTAAGCAAACATCTACTGTTTCGTCTACATTCAGCCACAGATTAGCTGCGAAAACGTAATGCCATTTACTTCTCTCTCCCGGCCTCTGCCCACCCCCCCACGTAAAAGAAGAAAAAAAATTCTACACGCGATTAAAAAAAACCGTACTCTCAAACAGAAGCGAGCCAATCGCAGCCGACAGAGTGTTCCCCGCTACAAGTCCCGGCAGAAAACAGCGAGCCAGGAAAATTGGTCCCAAATCAGGGGAGCCGTTGTGGCATGCGGAGGAGCTTGCCAGCCTTGTGCCCACACGGAGAGGCAGCCCTCCCCTCTCTGCGCTGCCCAGCACTCCTGAAATACCCTGGCCCGGCACGGAAACTCTCCGAACGCTGTCACCGCCGCGGTGGGGAGAGGTTGGGCGCAGGCACCAGGAGGAGGAGGGGGGTGGAGCCGCCCACACTCGCATTGACCGTAGCGCTGGACAACGCGGGGTCTGGGACCCAACCACAGAACGCCCCCACCGACCCTGCCTCGCTGAACCTCGCGTTGGCTCGCAGCCAGGGCCGGATTACGTCTGATGGGGGGGCGATGCGGTGGCGAGATGTTAATTACCTCGCCTGGTATACAGGAGGTTCGATCCCAACCCTGACGCCTGCTCTATATTTGGAGTTTGCATGTCTCTCTCCTCTAACTGGGGTGGATTTTTTCCCCCTACACATTTGGAATCAACATCACGCGTTTGGGGTATTAGGCTGCTGCTATACATTTCCACGTGATAAGACACTTCGTTGAGCTATCATTTGTGGGCAGGTCGCTCCTGAAAAAGAGCTACATAGCTCAGTGGGCCTTTACCTTGGTAGCATAAAAAAAATGTGTTGATAGTTTGTGGGGGGGGGGGGGAGGGAGTCCCCTCCGTGTCTGTTACATACATTCCCTTGACTCTTCTACCACCACCCATACCCGATATTGCCACACACTTTGTTATTAATCCTTGGTGATTTCAGTTTCGAATTTTACGTGCGATGCACGAATTGTAAAGCCAACGGAAAGTATAAATTTTTGTCTGTGAATCATATATATAGTGGCACGTAACTGGTGCTAACATGCACAGCGATTGCACAGCTTGAACAAATGACCTGTGGATATTCGTCATCGTGCTGCGGTCTTGCGTTTCAACCACTAAAAGGCACTTTACATATTTCTATATATATTTGGGGGGGCCATGGGATGCAGCCCCCTAAACCCCCACCCCTCCCCCCAAGTTGATCTGGCACTGCTAGCGGCAGCGGTGCCGCTAACCCAGAATCAGACTCAGAATATTCATATATTGACATTTATTCATAGTGGAGGAATCCGGTGAGCCATCAAGCTGTTTCTCACACACACGTGCCCGGCGGTGTTCGCAAATGTGTCGGGGGCGAACTCGCACATTGGGCTGACCGGAGGAAGTCGAGGGGGGGGGGGGGCAAATTGATGAGGTGGACGAATGTGTCGCTGTATCTTCGCGGAGCTTTGTGATGAGGTCCGTATTTAATTAACTCTTTCGTTTTGATAACTGCTCAGAAATGCTGACACGGCAACTGGAAACGCGACCCGTGCAAGCTATGCACCCTTGGCTCACGAGGGGTTTGTGCAGCTTTTGTTAATTACTCTTTGATGTTGCACTTCGTAGTTTCTTTTTTTTTGCGTTGCTCCACCATTTCAGGGTGGCCGTGTCCCGCTTCCTTCGCGTGCTGCGGCCGTCGCGACGATCATACAACGCGTGTCGAGGAGGTGCAGTGGTGAGCCCACCGCACGTGAAACGTGGAGTTCGTCGGTTCGACTTCCCGGTGCGGCAGTTGAAACAACGCTGCAGGTTTCTTCCATCTCACCCCACCCCCCTCCCTGCTACTGCCTCTGTCCACCCAGCAGTATAGACGAGCAGAGCGCAGTCAGTCGATCGGCAGCTCGCGTGTGAGCAGTCATATATTTTACAAGACGTTTGACCAGCGTGGAAGAGTAGGCGGTCCGTGGGGGGGGGGGGGGAGGTGGGAATACGCTCGCCAGCTCTCTGTGGTGGAGGCCTTTTTGCCAGCAGCGGTGTGGGCGAGCGATTTGCGGGGTAGCGCCTTGTGCCGCCCGCGTGTCGAGAAGGCGAGCGAGGGTGACACGTGAAGGCGGGACGTGGGGTCTGTGCAGACTCTGTGATTGAGGTCGTAGAGAGACGCACGCTGGGAGTGACACTGTGAGACAGCAGCGAGAGGAGGTCACGTGGACGGCGAGTCGCAGGTGGCACGCAAGCCTTGCGCGAGTTAATACACGGGGAGACCGATGGGGAGGGGGGAATGGAATTCACGTTTCAGATTTTGACACTGAATTAATCACACGGCTCTTTGGTGTCTTCCTTTGTCCAGCAGCGATTATAATTCATCACAGTCTGATGAGTCCAGCAATGGGTTACCGACTACCGGTCTTGAGCAAGTTCAAAAGTAGAAAACGCCAATTTTAGATTTGAAGCTTTCGTGACTGCAAGGATTCACACTCTTAGGTTTTTTTGGGTAAAGTAACGTAGGTAAAAAATAAATAATAAAAATAATTCATAAAAATAATATAAATAAAATAATAAATCACGACGTTTCGGAGGCAACACAAGCTTCCGTCTTCAGGTGGAATCGTATCAATACAGCAATTGTGCTGTGATTTATTAGAAAACGCCAACCAATTATGGGGCTTTTAATAGCTCTCCCATGTGTTTTAGGGTTGTGCCTCCTGGTGCTCAGCAGGATATCCGACTTTTTTGCTCCACGTACTGGGAGCTGCTTCCGGCGCGAAACGTCGGAAATTGTGCCGAACGACACGCGGAATGACCTGAAAGCAACCCGCGAACCACTGGCGAAAGAAATAAAATAAAACAAAACTCCTACGCAGTACAGAGGAATTCAAATGAACGGCTTAAGATTTGAGGGAGGATTTGCAATATTGAAAAAAACGCGTGCCAATTCGTAGAAAATTCGTTTTATTTTATTGCGTCCCTACAGAGCTGGGAATTTGGTAAACATCCTTGGGTTGCTGAGGAGAGAGAGAAGCTCGTTTTCATTTATTTTGTTATTTATTTGAAAGCAACTCCCAAGCCTCCTCCTGCGGTTTTGACGACAGAGATTGGCACTGTGGCCTGGCAGCTCTCAACTGTGTCCTGACAGCTCTCACTCCACACAGATTTCACTCCACACAGCCCTCACTCCACACAGCGCTCACTGCACACAAGCCCTCACTTGGCCTGACAACTCTCACTCCACACAGCGGCCCTGCTGCCTGGCTCCCTCTAGTGGGACTAAACATAACCCCCCCCCCCACTCCTCTCGCTACCTCGGGCTACAAACTCAACGGCAACTTCGGTGCTTATTCACCGTGGCCATCGGTGTCAAGATGCTCGCTAGGTTATTGCCTCCATTGTGCGGTTGGCCGCCGAATCGAAACAACAACAACAAGAAGAAGAAGAAGAGGCGTTGTCTTCGAATGATGTAATAATAATTTTAAAAAAATCTCAAATATTTCAAGAGAGCCACAATGCACTGCGTGTGGTGAACACGAGACGGCGGTGGGTCCCGAATAAATCACGGTCACGTGGCCTCGGATCCGCAGGTTGCCCCCCCACCTCCCCCCGTATTTAGTGTGATCCATTTACAGACACCCCACTCACATAATTCACAGGAATTACATTATGAAGTATAGGCGATACCGGAAGTTTAAATATGATAATAGTAGCAGTAATGAGGTGGAGCAGTGGTGCAGCGGTTAGCGCACTAACACAATGAACCCGGCTACCTGAGTTCGATTCCCGAACATGGTTAACACCAGTGGGAAGAGATTTATAAATCCGCAAACTATGGGCCCTCACTCCACCAAACTCCTATGATGAGTGGCACGGTATGGGGAGGTGTTTATCCAGCGGTGGATTGACAGAGTCGCCGTGAGTTTTGTTTTACTTTATCGGATTCTCCACATTATAAGACACTCCGGAAAGTAAGACGCACCCCAGATGTTGTGTTAATAAAGTTATACAAATTTGGCCCCACACACGCACCGGACGATAAAACACACACACACCGCAAATCATTGCTTTAACGCACCAAGGGAGGGGAAAAAAATGTGTGCATTCTATTCCGGAGAATATGGTAATAATATTAATGATAGTTATAATCTCCCATCGCGCCTGTCCCAGAGTGAACTCAGCTCTTGCTATCCAATTCGTATCACAGGTCTACAGAGTTAGAATTCATACATCATCCCAGAGGTCATTGTAGTGGTCTCAGATGTTTGAAGGGGTCTGGCACTTCAGGTCACCCCGCCTCGTAAATAAACGCCTGATGTGGCTTTATTTTTGCTTTGGGGGGGGGGGGGCGGGGGGTTTCACGTCCTACTCACTCTCTACTCATTTTCTGTTGGAATACGCCGCCTGGGGCTGGAGGGGAACGTGATTTATAAACGCAGCAGAGTTGGAGCGGTTTGCATAGAGCGCGTTGTTGACCCAAGCTCAATATAGTCGTGTAATTGTGGGAAATAAATGTGCTGGGAATTGAAATATTAAAAAAAACAGTGGACGGAGCCTCCTTTGGCTTGTTTAAACATTACATTGGGGTTTTATTTTTGTTCATTTTCATCCGCTTGCTATTCCACAAAGAGCACTTGAACTACTTTTATGAGGTGGCTATTTTACGTTCGCTCTTTAACATAGGAATAGCAATGTGGCACGAACTCTCTCTCTCTTTCTCTGCTCAAGCCCCCTCGTGGCGAGCAGACCTTAAGATTGGCATCTAACTCCCGAGCGGATCACTGCCACGCAAGAAAAGAATATCAGCTTCAAATATTAATTCTCCATTCATCAGGTGGTGTTTGTCAACCCATGACTGGATGTTGAACTTTTTTTCGCACCGCTCGTTTGCGGAGGTCCGTGGTTCGAATCCGGCGGCCGTCGCGGTTATTACTGCTGACTGACCACAATGATGCCACGCGCCGTTTGGAATTAAAAGATCCCGTGACGTCATTCGCAAGAGCGGGGCGATCGTGCGAATTTTGGAAATTCGAAAATTGCTCTCAAATTACTCAATTGGGAGTATGCGTACACAAATCATTGCCCCCCCCCCCCGCTACTCCAATAACTTGGCAGGATCCTCCTGACAAAAAGTCATTAGACTCAGTGGGACTGTCCTGGGTAATCAAGAGGAATAAATAAACAAACCTATAAACGTTCTCCCCAGGTCACTGGTGCACATGAAGCTACCCCGGTTTATTTAAGTTTTTACCTGGTTAACAAAAAAACTAACTAAAAAATGATGGTAGTGGCTTGTACTTACACACCGTTGCTAATCCTATTCATAGAATGTTTATTTTTT